TTCTTCTCTGGAGACTTGCAGTCTGGACCCCTTCCTCAGGAATTTCACCTCCTCATGGCTGCTTCTAAAATGTTGCTTTTCTTCTTCATTAAGCAAACATGCCTTTAAAGCCTCAAAATTTAAGTCTTGCTCTTCTTTACACTCAAATATCACAGAAACTGTCTCCCAGGTTTTATCTAAACTGTTCAACACCAATAAAACCTTCTGGGACTCAGGGAATTTAATCCCACGTTGTTCTAAGTCCAAAAATAAACTTTGCATTTTATTTAAATGTTGTTCCACAGATTCACCTGGTTGCAAATAGGCCCTGTAAAGTTTTTTTGACAATTGCACTATATTGCATGCAGAAACATTCACATGCACAGCTCTCAATTTCAACCAAATCTCCTTTGCAGTCTTTAAATTTGCAACATTTAGAAATTGTTCATCATCTAAATTCAAGATGAGATAAGGCATTGCTCGATCATGACTTTTCTGATCAGCAGCTGCAAACACTTGTGGTGGATTTTCTATGATATACCACAGCTCTTTTGCTTTGAGCAAACATTCCATTTTAGCAGCCCACACAATGTAGTTCTTCTGGCCCAAACGAGGCACAGAGGTTTCCTTAAAATCCATTGCAGCCATTCTGCTAATTCTGCCTTGTTCTTATACTTTCTAAACACAGGCAATTTCTTCCAGCTTTAAATTACAATGCAGTCCTTAGTAAGCTCTGGGCCCATAACCTGTTAGAAAATTTTAATTTCTCTATTGGTGAAAAAATAAATGAGAAGCTCTCACAGTTGACTGCATTTAGCTGATTCAAAATAACTTCTTTATATTTATATCAAAATATTTACAATACCATACATTCTTCTTTACAGCAACATAGCTCAATTGAAGACTTCTTACAGAGAGATACAGAGACAAACCTGAGACTGGAAATCCAGCTCCCAACTCAATACCCTTTTTGCACAGACACAGTAGCACTTTCCTCACATTGGCTGACTGAGTTACCACATGACTCTTCCTGCTCATGAATATTCCAACAAAACCGCTATCTTTCAGTCAATTAGATAGGTCTATAGCAGGGGGAATGCCAGCTACCCTAGCCATGCTACCGATCCACCTTACTCTGGGGTACAACAAGGAGACTATAACGTTCGTGGTAACCCCAGGCATGGAGTGCCCAATAGTACGGGGGTTGGTGTGGCTAAAGAAATGGAACCCCAGGGTGGACTAGAGGACAGTGGAACTCAGGTTCTCAAAAGGGGACCGAATGGGATCGCCACCCCAGGAAGCCCCCTAGAGCTGCCCTCCAGAAAGAGCAGCAGCAGAAATACCCAAGGAGTGCAGGTGGATGAGCTACCCCATCATCGACCCACAGACTGCGCGATAGAAATCAAGCCTGGAGCAAAGCTCCCGAAGCCTAGATTGTACTCCTTGAGCCCTGAGGAGCTACAAGAAATGAAAAAAATTGTAGATAAAAATTTAGAGAGGAGCTTCTTGGGCCAGCTTTCCCAAAGAAGGTAGCAGCCCCCATCCTTTTCAGGAAAAAGAAGGATGGCACATTGTGTATGGATTACCACACCTTGAACGCCATAAGCGAAAACAACCTGTACCCTCTCCTCCTCATGAAAGACATGCTGTCCCACCTATTGAAGGGAAAAATCTTCACAAAGCTAGATCTAAGGGAAGCCTATTATCACATAAGAATTAAGGAGGGGGACAAATGGAAAACTGCGTTCAACTGCCCTATGGGATGCTACCAATTTAAGGTCTTGCCATTTGGGCTGCAGGGAGTCCCCACGGTTTTCATGCAGTGGAAAAATGAGGTAGTGAGGGAGCACCTATACAAAGGGGTCCTCGTCTACCTGGATGACATCCTTATATTTGCAGAGACTAAAGAGGAGCACATAAAATTATTCAGAGCAGTCTTGAAAAAAATTGAGAGCAGCCAACCTCTATGCAAAATTGTCCAAATGTGAGTTTCACAAATGGAGTATTGACTATTAGGGCTACCACATATCAACTGAAGGCATAGAGATGGACCCGGAGAAGGTCCGGGTGGTGTTAGAGTGGGCACCATCCTGCACGAGAAAGCAACTACAAAGCTTCCTGGGGTTCGCTAACTTCTATTGACAATTCATCCCTTCTTTCACCCAGATAGCCCTGCCTATAACGAACTTATTAAAAATGAAAGGGGGCAGCTCAGTAAAACCTAGTCAGCCATTAACCTGGACGATGGAATGTCAAGCCACATTCGAAAGACTAAAAAGGCTTTTTTCAGCTGAGCTGGTCCTAAAGCACCCCGACCCAGATAGACCATAATCCAAGCCGATGCAAGTGATGTAGCAGTAGGGGCAGTATTGCTGCAGGAAAACAACAAGGGGCAGCTGCAACCCTGTGCCTACACATCCAGAAAACTCTCTGACACAGAGCAACATTGGACGGTGTGGGAAAAAGAGGCGTATGCTATGAGGTGGAAGGGAACAAAATCCCTTCCAGGTCTGGACAGACCATAAGAACTTGGAAGCACTAAAAACATCTAGGAAACTTAGCCCTAAACAAGTCCAATAGTCACAACACTTCCACCAGTTTACATTCAAAATTAAACACTTGGTGGGAGGAGGAATTTCCTGGCAGATGCCCTATCCTGCATGCCCCAGTACAATAGTTCCCAGCCAACCATCACCAAGCTGCTCATGCTGGACATGCAGCTGGCAGCACAAGTAACCACAAGAGCTCAGGCAAAACTAAAGCAACTGATAGCCAGCCAAGCAGGGATAGAATTCAGGAAGGCTCTAGAAACCGATGAATGGTTCCAGAGCCACAAAAACATATGCACTATCATTAACAGCTTGCCATGGGTGGGAGAGAAGTTGTACATCCCAAAAGCCCAGAGGATCACGTTTATGCAACTCTGCCATGATACGAAACCGGCAGGTCACTTTGGTTTCGTGAAAACGCTGCATCTAGTGAAGAGACAGTTCTGGTGGCCGTCTATGAAAAAGGACATTGAGAGCTATGTGGCCAGCTATCCAACCTGTGCAGCTGCTAAAAGACTGCAAGGGAAAGCCCCCGGACTGCTACAGCCAGTGGCAAACCCCACAGCCCCCTGGAGGGAAATTTCCATGGATTTCATAGTAGAACTACCAGAAAGTAGTGGAAATATGGCGATCTGGGTTGCCATGGACCTATTCTCAAAACAAATACACTTCATTCCCTGCCTAAAGATCCCCACCTCTAAAGTCTTAGCAAAATTGTTCGTCCAGCAAATATATAGATTGCATGGAGTACCCCAGCGTATAATATTAGACAGGGGTGCAGTTCACATTGGACTTTTGGAAAGAGTTCTTATCCCTTCTGGGGACCACCCAGGGGTTGTCATCTAGTCATGATCCTCAGACAAATGGCGGGACGGAACATTCAAATTCAGTACTTGAATAATATTTAAGATGCTTTATTAATTTCCAACAGACGAACTGGACCAACCTGCTCCCTTTCGCAGAAGTGGCATACAAAATGCAGTCCATTCCAGCACAGGTTACATCCCATTCTAAGTAGTTATGGGCCAAAGCTTCAACCCCATGCCAGAACTGAGCACTACCGAGCCGGCCATTCCCTCTTTGAAGGAGTGGATTGCACAATTAAAAACCACCTGGCCAGTAGTTAGAAAAGCACTAGATGAAGCTAGACAGGCCTATAAAGCACAAGCAGATAAGAAAAGAGTCGAACCAAAACCATTAATCATAGAGGAAATGATGTACTTATCCACAAAATACCTAAAATCCTTGCAACCATCCAAGAAACTAGGGCCGAAATACATGGGACCATTCCACATCAAAAGAATCATAAACCCAGTAACAGTAGAGTTAGAATTACCAAAAACCCTCAGGCAGGTTTACCCTATCTTCCACTGCAGCTTACTAAAACGAGAGCAGCAATCACCATTATGACTGGCCACCGTCCCGCTGCCTCCTCCCATTATGGTTGAGGGGAAGCAGCATTTTGAAATAAAAGAAATCCTTGACTCCCGAAAATGCCATGGAGCAACTCAATACTTAGTAGCGTGGAAGTACCTCCCCTCTTCCCAAAACGAATGGGTGTACAAAGACCATGTTAGAGCCCCCAAACTATTACAAAAATTTCACACGGACTACCCGAACAATCCGGACTAACCTCTCACCATTTTTGTTTTGTCTTTCAACAGATTGATCTCTCATATTTTTAAGGGGGGCAGGATGTCAGAACCCATATCTATCATATTGCATACCTTCCTGCCTCTCTTTCTCTCATCTCCTGATTCCATTCTCTTCTCTCCCTGGGTTCTGCCATACTCCTAGAAGGGAGGGGAAACGGAGTGGGTGTTTATTGCCTTAGCTTCCTCTATTGATACAATGTAGCGTTTTGCTTCCCTGCCTCCTTTCCCTATTTGTACAGTGTGACATTTCACCTTAGTTTCGTTTATTGCTGCAATGTAACACTTTGCGCTCCTGCACTGTATTTCTCTCTGAACTTTCTTCTCCCTAACCTGTGAGCTAGGAAAAGTGGTGGGAGAAATAAATATAATCTCTGGAGCCTAGCTTATTTCTCTGCTCTCAAGAGAAAGTGTGAAGAGCTGCTTGAACATTCCGCTACGACCAGAGCTGGACCGATGTTATCTCCTCTTTCCCACGATGGACATAACACCTGGGGATTGGCTAGTTTGAACCATCTGGATGAACTATGGGGTGGGATTTGCTTAGGGATACTTTAACCCATCGATCTGTACAAGAGTCCCTCAGATCCTGTCTAGTATGCCTGCCATCAGCTCCTTATAAAAGTTCCTTTTGGAAGGATTTGTTTCCATGAGTTCTGCTTTCTTGGGATGAGATGTTGAGGTGGGTCCTGACAATTGGCCTTCTTCACAATTTCTAAGGCTGATGTGCAAGTTAGTTAATATGTAACTGGTGTGTGAGGATGTGTGTGTGTTGGTGTATATCTTACCTATTTGTCTGAGTTTTTTTACTTTTCTTTAGATACGAAATGTGGAAACAAATCAATGTCTAGATAATATGGCACGAAAAGAAAATGAAAAAGTTGGAATTTTTAATTGCCATGGAATGGGTGGTAATCAGGTAATGATGTAAAAGTTTGTTTTCATTATATTTTGAACAGTAAATAATTTAACAAATATATTTAAAATGTTTATCTTATTGGCCTTTTTCATTATAATCAGTAATGGAGCTTATGTTAAAATATCATGAATCCGTTTTCATGGACAATCATCATCTTATCAGCTTTAAACAAATCACTGATATAAATTTCCACAGGGGTAGTGGATAGATTAAAGAGTCCATCCCAGATTAATTCAAATTGTTTCCAGAGTTAATTTGGCAGTATTGTTGTGCTCTCTTGAAGCCCTGTCTGATTTATGGAATATGGAACCACTGGGCATTTAGCCAATATTTTTGTGGCATTTCCAGCAAGATAATCCATATAAACCTCCATCTCGTGTGAAGCAACTTTTAATATTTTAAATACACCCATGCAACCACATACTATTGCATCATTAATATTTAAATCAGTTTACCATATCAAATAAGTAAATGCAGTTCAGATTTCAGCTATATGAATCCCAATTAATAGGCATCATTTTCTAGTATTTCTAGTAGCAATTGTCATCTCTGATGTCTACAGACACTGGTAAAAAAATTTTCCACTCTACACAATTTGTAACGTGTACTATTTTTGTTCAGAGTAAACATAATACAATACTTTACAACAGCACAATTGTGCTAATAGAATTATAGTTTTTAATATAATAGAAGAAAAAGGAAATCTAAACAAACTTGGGAAATTTGAAAATACATTATTGCCACTGGAAATTTCATGAATGCCATTGTTTACAAAACTTTTTAAGTGACAAAAAAAGAGATTCATTTGGCTGGTGTTTTCCAAATATTTGAATAGGAGGAGGTTTTATACTTAGATTTTATAATGAAGTATCATTGCTATAATCAAATGTGGTTTTCTCTCAAGGTTTTCTCATACACAGCTAACAAGGAGATCCAAACAGATGATCTGTGCTTAGATGTCTCCAAACTTAATGGTCCAGTCACAATGCTCAAATGTCATCACTTGAAAGGCAATCAACTTTGGGAATATGATCCAGTGGTACGTTTCTTTATGGCCTCAAACTCAACTCTTGAGAAAATATCTGGTTATAAATAGAAAATAGAAGGAAAACTAATGTAAGACATTCTGTCAATTTATTTCATAATTTCATATGATTGCCTTTTACAGAATTCCTTGCTGGCTTCCCACAGTCAGTGAGGAAGCAGATCACAAATCATTCTTGTAAGATGCTCTCCCTCCTGTCACTTTTTCTCCTGAGGAGCCCCCAGATGGTAGGGCGAGTATAAGATCCAGGCAGCTGGCTGCCTGTCCACCCACATTTGTAGGAACCCATTAGCATCCATTACCCACCTGCCCTCTGGGCTATAGCATCTATCCACTCGTACACATTTCAGACTATAGGACCTGCATTCCTGCCTCTCCACTGGACTCAACCAATCATGCTCATCCAAACTCTCTTGCCAGCCTGTTGCAAGAGATCTAAAGAGGGGCTTGTCATGACTGGGATTTGCAACTTCCAGCCAGGTTTCCCATTGACTTTGCTTGTTGGAAGCCAGCGGGAAGACATAAATGGTGATCATATAAGGTCCCTGCTTGATAGTCCACAATCTTTGCTTAACAATGGCAATAGAGTCTATAGAAATTACGTAACAAATTCTGATCTCATTTATAGAATATAGAACATAGAATCATAGGACTAGAAGGGATCTCAGGAATCTATATGCTCAAAGCAAGAGACCTCATATTATCGCAGTCAAATGGTCCTCCAATCTTTTCTTGAAAACCTTCAGTGATACAGCATCCACAACAGCAAGCTGATCCATTTGTTAATTATTCTCACCTTCAGGAAATTTCTCCTTAATTCCAGGCATGATATCTCTGTAACAATCTTCCAACTTTGCTTCTTGTCCTGTCTCAGATGCTTTGCAGAACAACTCAGTCCCCTTGTCTCTGTGACTTCCCCTCATGTCACCTCTGATCCTTCTCTTCAATGGCCTAGACATACCTAGTTTCCTTAATTATTCATCATATGATTTAATCTCCAGATCTCTTATCATTCTGCAATTTTTATAAGGTCTCAGCATCTTTTTTGTATCATGGTGACCAAAACTGTACGCATGTATTCCAAGTGCAACCTCACAAGTGCAAGTATAGAACGTACTATTGCTTCTCATGATTTTGATGCTATCCCTCTGTTGATGCAGCCTAAAAATGCATTGGCATTTCTGGCAGCTACAGCACTTGCTGGCTCATACTTAAGTGGTAGTCCACTAGATCCCTCTCACAATTGGAACTATTGAGTGAGGTACTACATATTCTATATATGTGCATTTCTTTTTTCCTGCTTTACTTTTCACCATTGAACTGCATCTTGAATAGGGCCCAATGCTCAATTCTGTCAAGATCCTTCTGAATCTTGTATCTATCTTCCAAAATGATAGCAATTCCCCCCAGCTTGGAGTTGTCTGAAAATTTGATGAGCTCTCCTAATCCTTATCCAAATCATTTATGAAGATACTGAAGAGCACTGCACCCAAGACAGAACCTTGAAGTTCCCCATTACATGCTTTTCTCCATGTAGCTGTAGTTCTGCTGAGATCTACATGCTGAGTGCAGTTGTAGTCAATTGTCAAGCCATGTGGTGGTGGTACTGTCTATTTTACATTGTTTTATCTTATCAAAAAGTAGGCTGTGGTCTACTTTGCAAAATGCCTTACTGAAGTCCAAGTGTACTATATTCACAGCATTTTTTTTGTTCACTAATTTAGTCACTAATAAAGAAATGAACCCAAAGTCTTGCCATCTTCTTCCATTAGTGGAACTAATGAGTTAATGGGATCTAAGAGGCTTGTCCTATGATATAAAATTAGGCATCTTACATTCAGCAAACTCAGTGAACGCCAGCTGACAATTCCAGGAGACTACCAGCAAATTTTAAAAGTTTTGTTTCCACAACATTAGTATCTCTCATTCACTTACTCAGCCATTGAAGTGTTACATATGAAAGATCCTTCTTATTCTTTTTAAGATGAAGGTAAAATTTCAAACTTTTATTTCTTCTACCTCTCTTTTATAAACAATGCTGAATTATCTCAGCTTGATTGCTGACTTACCCAACAGCACACCTTGGTTATGTCTGTGAAGGTTCTCAGTCATCCATGTAATAGTTGTTTCAAAAGGCAAGTGGGCTGTTTTTTCCTTGAGGAAGAAGAACAAAATGTTTCCGTTGTCATCCAAGAAGCTTCATCAGTTTTGATGGTGGGGGAAGGATAGGCACTGACATTTGAGACTAAATGGTGGAGGGATGGAAGGATAGTTCTGGCCAGATTGGGGGGGGGGAGGAAGGATTGTATTTCTTTGCAGTCACCTGGTCGTTAATATTTTCCCTGAGAGCTCTTGAGGGGACTTGGGAGTTTATCATTTGTTATAATCTTCATCTATTTCTGGTAGTTGTCCATCTTGTCAATATGCCATGACTGTTCTATGACTATGTGAAAAACATACTTGATAGAAAAATGTTTTCAATAATTCTCCATTGCTTCATAATGTCTAACCATAAGAGACTGTTTTATGTTTAATAATATCTTAATTATTTGGTCTTATTTAGGAATTTTGGGTTAACACATTTTCTTTCTCTGTCTCCTCTTTTTTCATTCTCCACACATGCAATAAAGAAATTAATCCTGTTGCATGTGAACAGTAACCAGTGCCTGGATAAAGCCGCTGAAGAAGACAGCCAGGTACCCAGTATCAAGGATTGTAATGGTAGCCGTTCACAGCAATGGCTTCTTCGTAATGTCACCCTTCCAGAAATATTCTGAAAGGTTTCTAAGACAATGATTTACTGGACTACCTCAGCGAGTGCATTTGCTATATTATGTTCCAAGCAAAGGCTGCAATTGATCACTGGAGCAATCTGTTCTAAAGTTCTAAGAGCTGTGAACCAGCTATCCTGGTGTTTAAACATGGAGCTAACTAAAGGAGTTACTTGTGATGCTTTATGCACTAATGTTTACAAAAAATCATTTTGTAGAACACATGGACAGTGGAAATATAACTGAGGAAATATGCTCTATGGAGAACAGCACAGCTTAGACTGCTTGTGTATCAGCAACCTCCCAAAATGCTGTTAGAAATATTCTTAAGATGTCTGTGTGAAGTTCAATATTTACCCAAAGGTCATATAAAAATATAAATGGGATAGATTAAAAATAAAATAGAAAAGTCATTGATACAAAAAATGTATAAAACAGGGTTTAGAAAAGAAAATCAGAACTGTTAAAACTTATAATTCCAAACATCAAATGTATATAATTAATTTGATCTCAGTGGAAAAAAAGTGACCAAGTGAAATAGCAATTTTTTGTTCAATTGCATGCTGATCCATTAATTTTTTTTCTTACAGTAAAGGCCTTGAACTTTTTTTTAAGAAAAACCAAAATTTAATTAGCTCTCTAAATGTTGGATTAAATTTTAAAACTTTTGATTTTGTCTTGTAGTTTTTCAAAACTATTTTCCCCCCCAATTATTTGAAAAATGTTTTTTACTTGTTTGTGTTTTACTTGGTACTTAAGTTAAAAATATGTCAGCTATCTTTGATCTAACAGTTAAATTTCTTAACTGATTATGTTTATGACTAAATCTCCTAATACTGCATTACAGTTTCTTTACAGCAATAATTATTTCATTCCTCAATTCCACATACCAGTGCCTGCAGATAACTTATTCAAGTAATAAATAGCTGGTATCTGAATGTTCCCTTAAAGCATATTTCCAGTCAATATTACAATATCACTCATATTTTTGAAATGTAATGTCCTACTTTTTTCTAATAAAATCACGGGAAATTATTAAATAACTCTCTCTTTTAAAACTAATACTTTTCCAGCATATCTGGAATAGGCCTACCTGCACTGCCAACCTTGTAGTTGTAACACATAACATTCTAAGGGGTGTGGTTTTTTTTATTTTTGATGTTCCCAATTCTCTTACAAAGGCTCCTCCGGTTGGGCATGCATAATATTCTGGTTACCGCATCATAATACTCTGGTTATCCCATCATTTTCTTGGCACTATCAATCAATTGAATTCTTTTTTTTTTAATTCTGGAAATTGTGAATTTGTCAACTATTTAATGATCAGTAGATGGCAACAAAGAATTAATGATTTCATATTTCTGTGTTGCCATCTGGTGTTCATCTGAATATGCGCAGCCAATATGTTGCTGAGAACTAGAATTTGAGAAAGGGAGTTATCATTGGGATCAACATGGGAGTTGAAAATCACCTTAAAACATAATGTGAGGAGAGGAAGAAAGTAACCAGAACTTTCTTGGAGCACTGAAGCAGGGTTACTAAAAAGGTAATTCCCAAACCCATAGGCCAGGGGTCTTTAAACTTGGCCCTTTTATGACTTGTGGACTTCAACTCCCAGAATTCCTCAGCCAGCATGTAGGCTATGGCAGTGGTGGCAAACCTATGGCACACGTGCCACAGGCGGCACGAAGAGCTGTCCCTATGGGCACACACGCCATTTCTGGGCTCCTCCCCCTCCCCTTCTCCATGCATGCACAGTCCGGGAATAGCTACAAGAGCTGGGCGGGGTGAGGAAACATATAAAAGGAGCAGTTTTGGCGGGAGAGTGAGTGAAAACAAAGCTTCCATCTCTCTTCCGCAGTGCAGCCCCATCGGCTTGAGTGGAGATGGCCCTGAGATGGCCGGAAAGGAGCAGCTGCCGCCCCCATCAGAGCCACCCTGTAGAGAGGACCTGCATCAGGTGAGGGCTCCTTTCCAGCTGTCCTGGGGCCATCTCCACTCACGCCGATGGGGCTGCCATGATGAAGGAGGCTGTGGCTGCTGATGGACATCGGCGACCTCCATGTGCTCGCTGGCCTGTGTGTGGGGGGGCTGATGGTGTCAGACAGCAGCTGCTCCAGCCCCTGCCTTGCCTTGCCTTGCCCAGCGGCAGTTGGCACACTCACCCTGCCTCTCCTTGCCTTATCCCACAGGATGCGCCTCCGGTCCACCGCCCCACCCGCCAGAGACCCCCTGGATCTCCCCAACCCTTCCCGGCCCCCCTCCCCACAAACACCATCAAGGTGGCCACACCTGCTGTGGCCACACCCATCCAATCTGCTGTGACCACTGAGGCCATGCCCACCCAGTTGGCCACGCCAACCCGGCACACAGCGATAAATAAATGGGGTTTGGGTTGCGGTTAGGGCACTCGGTCTCTAAAAGGTTCGCCACCACTGGGCTATGATTCTTTAGTTACTTTTTACATACATTTTAGCCAGGCATCAGCCAGTCAATTTTTATGGGTTTGCCCATAGAAAGGTAGTGTTTGCCAGTGTTTCCATACTCCTCCATTTCTTCTCCAGGACACTCCCTCACAAAAATCAAATAGAAAAATAACAATGGTATAATTTCCCATTTGGCTATAAGGAAAATGAATATAAATAAATACGGCCCAGGTACAATCCAAAATGGTAAAAAGATTGCATGACATTGGTATACATATAGATTGTTCCACAGTGATAGCTTAACTTATAGTTCAATCTAAGCCAGTGATGGCAAACCTTTTAGAGACCCAGTGCCCAAACTGCAACCCAAAGCCCACTTATTTATCACTGGGTGCTGGGTGGGTGTGGCCGCAATGGTCATGGCAGACTGGTTGGGTGGGGCCAGGGTGGCCAGTCCCTCGCCATCTCCAGGGCACAGCACACGTACCTACAGAAAGGGCTCTGAGTGCCGCCTCTGGCATGTGTGCCATAGGTTCGCCACCACTGATCTGCTGTGCCTTTAGAAGTCAGAAGTCGTATATTTTCAGAGCTGAGAAAGCTTTTCTAAATTACACAGTCTCCCTAGGTGCTCTATCACTGGGGATTTTAAAAAAGAGTCTGAACAGTCATTTGTGTGAAATGGTATAGGGTCTCCTGCTTGAGCAGGGGGTCCCCAATTACCAGGCTGCAACCCACTACCAGACCGCGCCCCATTCAGAACCAAGTGTACATGGACACAGCGGGTGAGCATACACATATGTAGCTCTGTTTGTGCGAGTGGTGCCACTTGCATAAATAGAGCTGCACGCATGGGTGTGCTCATACAGAACCCTCCCCTCTCTCCCCGCCAATCCATAAAACCAGAAAGGTTGGAGACCACTGGACAAAGACTTTCAAATTCCCTTCCAACTCCGTTATTTTGTTATTTTAAGAATAAACATTATATGAGTATTGTTGCCCCTACTGGCAATTTAACTATAACCATAATACCGGTAAATCTTAGCAAAGTATTGCTCAAGAGAAAGAAATATTTGAAGATCCATATTCAATATTTCAATTAAAAACAAAAGACAGGTGGGTGAAATTTATTAAAGAAAATATCAATTTTGACATCATTTTCTTCATTGTATATGTTCTGATCCAGAATTAAGATGCTTTGTAATCCCAGATCATACAGACAACTCAATAAAGATGATTGCAAAACAGACATTTATTCAGAAGGAAAAACTTGCATTTATGATTGTTGCTTCTGGATATGTTACATCTGTCCATCCTTATAGGTAAGAAATTAATACTTCCTCCATACCAACTTCTAGCGTGGAGTGGGACCATCTGAGTCCTGGGTGGTCCCATGCTTATCTCAGACAAAGTCATTCCAAACTGGCCCGTAGCCAGGATATCCTGTGATGAACTTTGAGTGGCTCCTCCTACAGACTTGTTAACAATGGAATAAGCTAACTAGCTAAAACTACATTACCCATAAGCCATCTTTTGAGGAGACAGCGCTTAACCCAATAAATGTCAAACATTCTAAAATACAGATCTACATGCTCTAGTCATGGTTACATGATCCAGAATACTCCCCGCTTGGAAATATAAATTTCCACTACTAACTAACTGAAATAAGCAAAAACCGTAGCATTGAAGCCTGCAATTCTCATTGCTAACTAACTAATGACTAAAATAGGTAAAACAATATCAAAACATGCATAACTATAAGGTAAATATAAAACATGGACAATTATAACAGAAATAAACAAATGTTACATCAAACAATGCATAAACACAATACATAGTTTGAGGTTCAATCTTCTAGTTCGATCTTTTTCAGCAACAGGCTTGGTCAGTAATCAGCCTGGTGCAACAGTCTTTGAGTCACGATCTGACTCATGTGGCTTCACGATCTGGACCTCAACTTGGCGAATTAGTCCAGCAAAACTGGGTGCACAAGTCCCATGGGCCAATAGTTCTGGTATGTGTTCTTGTCTCTCAGCAAGACAAGGTTTTCTTTCTGTAGAAGAAACTGGAACCAAAGAAACTTCTGGAACAGAAAAACCGGAACCCAAAATTTCTCAGGAACAAAGGAACCTGGATTCATAGGATGCTCAGGAACAGAAGAAGCTGGAACCACAGGAAACTCAGAAACAGCAGGAGCTGGAAAATCAGGAACAACAGGAGCAGGAGAATCAGGAACAGCAGGAGCTGGAAAATCAGGAACAGCAGGAGCAAAAGACTCAGGAACAACAGGAACAGAAGACTCTGGACACTCAGGAACCAAAGGGTCTGGAACCACCGGTGGAGTGTTGAAGATGGCTGCTATTGTTGTCATGAGGGTAGTGAGGACTTCATGTGTGGGTGTGGGTTTCTTTGACAACATAGAGCCCATGATTTTGTGGGATATGCCAATCATGCGCTTCCACGCTTTGCCCATGTGAGGTGCATGGGGAGGGTAATTTTTGGCCTTCAGACATTTGTCAGTCACTAGGTCATGACAAATACCATCAATAGTCTGTAAATCCTTGCAGGCTCTTACAAAGCTAGTTCTTGGAATGCTAAGGCAAGTGACCAAGACGATCAATACTATGCCTAATATCTGTTGTCTCTGCTTAGGGGAGGGTTTGAAGCTAATTGGTTGAAATTTACTGGGTGCCTGAGGTTGAACATTGGCATGTTGATTTGGAGCTGGAAGCATATAGCTTTTTGGTCTCTGTGGCATCAGGCTGTCTGGACAAGCCAAGAACTCAGGACCCTTTAGCCAGATCAATTCTGTTAACTCTGATGAGATTGGGCCACTTAACTTGGTTCACAAGGTTCTTATCTGTTGGCACATGTTGCCATTGTTCAGTGCTTAGAGATGTTTCAATCTTTTCTACTCTATTGCCTACATAGATATAGAAGTGTCTGCTTTATTTGCAGATGCAGCTTGACATCACCTTGCTGTCTGCATAGAAGTTGATAGACTGTAGTTCAAGGCACAACTTCTTCGCTGTCAAGTTGGTGAGCTTTATAGCCAAAGTGGTACCACATAGTTCTAACCTTGGTAGGTTGTGGCCTTGTTGTATTGTATCTTGCTTTTCCAGAGAAGACACTGAGACTCCAGCTCTCCTGGCTGTAGACTCTGATGTATCTTATGGTTGCAATCAAAACGACGTAAGTGGGGCTCTCCCTGCTGTAGACTGTGATGTATATTAAGGCTGTATTCACCTTCAATGACACATCAGAGGAAGCGTACAATTCTTTCTTTTGTATGGTGGCGGGTGAGCTGGAGACATACGTGCACTGCATGTATATGCTTTGGAGACATCTTAGGAGTGCACTCCATGACTCCCAATCTTGTTTTTGTTCTGGCAGACGCGGCCTGTCCCAATGTGTAGTGCCAATGTGTAGCTGCAGAGATTGTTTGTCCACTATGGCCATGGCTGAGTCATTGTGGCTTTCACTGGTCTGGAACACTGCTGCTTCCAAAACGGGTTTGGTTGTTGCAAGTGTGAAGTGTTCTTGGTGTGGTTTTAAGTGGAAATCTCTTCCATTCCGGAGAATGGAGGTTCTTGAAATATTCACCTGGGTTGGAGTTTGCG